TGTTTCACATTTTTATTTTTCTTTCTTTCTTTTATGTACACACACTAAATGTCAAACAAGTGGCACACAAATAAAATTACTTACAACAGCATTTGTTGAACATAAACCTGAACTTTAGTTGTTTCTTTTTCTGACAGGGATGTATAAATCCAGCTTTTAAAAAAAGGGGTCGTGCAAACTTCAAAACTGATGCTCATCCACCATTTTGAACTGTTTTTGTCATTGCTAAATCGTTCACCAGAAATAACATTTCCTGACCTAAAAGCTAGGTCTAAGTGTTCTGACTCAATGGAGGGACACAAACCGGCGTCCGTGTAGGTCCAAGACGTTCTGAAAGAACTGCGTCTGCTTGACGGGATGTGAAGGGGAAAAAAGAGCTGATCAGGGGGGGAAGGAGGAGAGGAAGAACCGATGAGAGAGTGGAAAAAGACATGCAGATGGACAGACAGATAGACGAGGATGATGAAGAGTGCGACAGAGATGGACTGACTCCCGCCAAGATAACAGATCGCCATGGCGACCTGTTTGTCAATCAGTCTGTCAGCCACATCCACTCTCTGCTGGCCTCAGCCTGGACACGCACAATGGACCTTCTGTGTGTCCATACGTGTGTGTGTCCATACTCTGGACTCAGTGAGCAGACCCCCTTCTCCTCCTCCTCTGACCCATGTATAAGTGACACTGGAGACCCAGTGGCTTGTTACCCCCCAAAGGGACTTTGTGGTGACATGGGACCCTATCTGGAAGTGCAGAAATGATTGTGTCGATCATGCGACACTGAATTTAACTTTTTCTTCCACACAGTCTGGAAAACTGAACTTAATCTTCCATCAAGTCGCAATTATTCAGAAAAAATTGGAACGAAAAAGATCCAAATTTGAGGTAGTGAACGGAAAGTGAAGTTGAGGGATGACAACCAGCAGCAAGTCAGTCATGCTGAGAAAGAAGCCAAAATAAAAACAAAAGTATTTTACCAGAGAAAGCAGAACAAAAGGAGAAACCCAAAATCTATCGGAAGAAAATAGGTTAAACTTTTAAAAAAAAAGCCTGACCAGGGTGTGTGTAAGGCTATGGAGGGATATAATGTCTATGTGTGTGTTGAGGAAAAGGGGGGCTGATATGTAAGTGTGTGGAGTGGAGGGGTTAAAGTAGAGATGAAAGGGCAGCCATTGCCTGCTGATGACTGATATCATTCAGCAGGACTTTGCTGATGTCTGCCTGATAACACAGAGGACAGGGGAACCTCCCGCAACCAACCAGGAGCCAAACAGTAGCTGAGGTTTATGGCACACGTGAAGTATCAGAGGCTGGAGTAAAAAAGGTGAATTTGGGTTGTTATTCTGTGAGCGGATGTTGCCTTGCAAAAGTATGGATAACAGAATTATCAAGCGGAAATTTTTTTTTAAATGAAAATCTGAAGAGTGATGTGCATTTGTATTCACCCAAAATAATTCAACTGCATTTAGTAGAGATGGGCAAATTGATCCAAAATATCAATAATCTCAATATCATGTCAGCTTTGAATTGCTTTCAAATGATATTTTTTGTGCTTTGTCAATGTAGAAAAAAAATTCATGAATGTCATGTTAATATCTTACTAAAGCATAAAATCTCTGTCCAAATTCTGTCATACGTCTGGATAAAAGACTAAAAAATAAAAAAATACAAACTCACCTAAAGGCTCGTTGGCATTAGATTAATACCAAAATATGCAGCATAGCACACCTCCAGCTTTTAAATAAAATCCTATGAAAACCAGTTTCCTTAATTAGTCACTAAATAAATAGAGTTTATCTGTGAATGGATTAAATTTAGCATCAATGTTGTTCTTTGAAGGCTTTATAGGTTTACTAGAGAAGAATGGTGAACAAACAACATCATGAGGACTAAGGGACACAGCAGGGATAAAGCTGCAGAGAGGTTTAAAGCAGGGTTAGGCTATAAAACAAATCAACAGCAGCAGCAAACTAACAAAGATATGGACCTCTACTTAAAATAACAGTCAGGCACGAAGAGTATTGATCAGAGAAGCAGCCAAAAAGCCATGGTAACTGGAAAAACTGCAGAACGCCACAAATCAAGTGGGAAAATCTTTTTACAGGACAACTATTAATCATTGACTTTATGGATATATGTCAAAGCCACAACTGAATTAAAGCCATAAGAAATAAGAGAAGACATGTAGGGAAACCAGCAAACATGTGGATAAAGGCATTCTGGTCTGATGATACCAAAATCCAACTTTCCAACCTTCAAAAACAAAACCACATGTGTGATAGAAAATTATCACTGCTAACCCAGAAAGAGGTTAGAAAGGTTGTGGTAGTATTAATGATGCTTTTCTTCAGCAGGGTCAGTGAACCTTGTGAACAGACATTAATAATGTTGAAGCTGCAGAATCTGTTGCGGAGATTCACCTTCCACTAGGAATCATATCCATCTGGTAAAAGGTCTAGTCAAAGTCCAGAGTTAAATCCAAAAGCGTCAGCAATTTTACAAAGAGGAATGGACAAATATTTCAGTTTGAGTAAAGTACCTCAAGGTGTAAGATTTAAATAAAGGGAAAGATGATTTTTCAAAATATTCGTTCAGTTGAACTGAAGTGCCTGCATGATCTATCTGAAATTAAACATGACGAAGTCCCTGAATGAGAAGCAACATAATGTAAAAAAAAAACAATTCCAGGGGTCTAAAACTTTACAATGGCACTTCATAAAAGATAACCAGGATTTATCTACATGTAGTCTGGATTAATTTATGATGCTGTGACTTACAATATTAACGCACCAGAAGTGTCATGTTTCCTATGCGACTGTCACAACCGTAACATAACCTTCAAATACAACAACCAAGATGCCAAGTCTGTACAGGACTGTTTTACATCTGACACAATCTGTGCAGAACTCAGTTTCTCACACGTCTTCTGGACAATCTGTTGGCTTGGCCGGCGTGTGACTTCGTCAGCTGAATGCACTTAGATGATAACTAAACATGCAGACTCTCAAAGTAAACAGCAACTTTCTCCTCCTGATTTGTATGGAAGCTGTCAAACAAAGCTGTGGTAACATTTCCACTGTCAGCTGAGAAAAATGCAGCTCAAACTGTTAATTTAGCGGTTCCCGAAATTTAGGTCCGGACCCAGCTGTTGCTTGTCAGACACAATGTGCAAGAGACGGATGGGAGAAATAATCACAAATTAAAAATTGTTGCCTGAAGCATGTTTTCTTAAAGATCGTTGAGGTTGTTTGTCATGTCATTATCTCTCAGTTGAGTTTATTTATTAGCACATAACTAAATATCTGCGCATTTTGACAAGAGACAGCAGCGGATGAATATTTCTGCTGCTCTAAAATTGCTGATCTAAGTCAATGGAAATATTGTTTTCAAGTAATCTTTTTGATTAAAACAATTTATACACTTAACAGCTCTGATATCATCTATAAATTAGTAACGCCTTCTGATGACTCCCAACTTGCCAATACTCCATGAAAACAAAATGTTTCCTTCTGTCTAAATAATTTGTAAAGGGACGAACAGTAAAAGGTGAAAAGATGTTTACTGCTGTCTGAATCTGGATAAAAGTTGTTGGCTTTGATAATTTTGAGCAAATTAAACAAGCCAGCCAAAACTGACTGTCACTGTCTTTATTTTGGCTGCATTCAGACAGCAGCTATGAGATAAACAAAGTCGTATCTCCACCCAAACTCCCCACGAAACTAATTAGATACACCTGTTCAATTGGCCAACCACATGGCAGCAACCTGCTGAAGTTCAAACTGAATGTCAGAATAGACAAAAACTGGACGTTTAGTTACCAGATGGCTTGATTTAGTGAGATCTCTCTGGTTAAAGGACAACATATCTGGGGAGCTGCAGTTCAGTGTTTATTATCATATGTACATTCTTGTTCTGAGGGTTACTTTCAGTATAATATGTCACAAAGCTACAATCATCTCTTTGTCACTGTCATAGCAGTGATATCCCTCAATTCCAATGGGTCCAAAAACAAGAAGCAGATCATAGTGCAGGGTATTCTGGGTAAATACAACCAAAACATACACAAAAGTCCAATGCTAGTGGTTTTTAAAAAAAAAAAAAAAAAAAAAAGAAATCCTACAACTGCTAAAATCTGACGATACTCCATTTTTGTTTATGAAGAAGGAAATTTCACTCTGTGTCTCCTTCAAGTTGTTTCCTTCCGTTGTTATAAGTGCAGTGTCACCACATTCGAGGGGGTGAACAGCTTTTTCAAAATGTTTAGTTCATTAGTTCATTTGATACAGTGCAGTGAAAAAGCAAACAGCACCAATTGAACCGAGTCTATCAGATTGTGAAAACACTTTGGCTCTGGGATTCATTAAACACACCCCTCAGCATCACACCTCCTTGCTTCCTGCAGGATAAACTCAGGTCAGGTAAGGGCATGTAAAAGCCAAAACTTTTCATTCAGCCAAAAATAAAGCAGTGACCAGAAAAGCCTCCCTGGTCCATTCTCATCCTCGGAAACAAAGAGCTCTACAGCAGTAATGGGGGATGTGGGGTCAAAGAGCACATGTTCCGGGAAAGAGTTGTCTCCCAACATTTTGTTGGTCTGTTTTAACTGCACCAAGGCAGGATAATGGGAACGCCTGAAAAAAAGAGACAATACACACTTTGTATTTCACTGCAAGAAAAAGCTGCATCATGACATTTGATTTTGTTTTAAATTACAAACTGCTTATTGTTGCAATTTGATGCCAGAGTTTACTATCTAATCAAATCATTCAAAGCAAGCACTGATCTGTCACAAAAGACCAGCTGAAACGGTCCTGCTACTGTTGTAATGTTCCGATAAAATGATCAACTCTGCAAATATCCCTATCAGTGCAAAAGGAGTTCATGTCATTCACTCGGCTGGAACGGAAACACCAAGTTATCCATTAAAGAGAGCAGAACAGAGGAGAATTGATAACTTGGCATTCATTAATGTGAACAGAGCAGAGAAGAAAACAGGTCCCTACCAGGCAGACGCAGGTGATGCAGGGGTTGTCGGTGATGTTGGGGATGTGCAGGACTTCTCCTTCATTGTCACAGCTGGCTTCAGTGCCTGTGAAAGACAGAATAGTGAGGAGATTCCTAATTCAATGTTAGAAATGCTCCTCACTACAAATTACAGAACAATTTCTATATCTTCACTTATCCAGATCAAAATCTATCTGTAATGCCAAGAGAATGTGACATTATCATTCCAGAACTGTTTTTAAAAATGTGAAGATTTGTTCAACTTTCCTCCATTGTATTCATTCATCTGTCCAGGTAAATGGAGTGACATTCGAACCCGTGTCTTAAAAGCACAAGTCAGTCACTTTGTTACGAGTGCAAATGTAACCTGAACCAACGAGGGGAAACGACTCCAAACACATGGGTTTATGGGTTGAAGTATACAGATGTCAACGTCTCAGAGCGCAGGGTTTCATGCAGGAAGAAATCTGCTCCAGACTGACTGCTCTGATGTTTGCTCATGCGTCTGATCTGCTTTATTCAGAGCTCCCTCTCCTCCCCCCCGCATGGTGACAAGAGATGGGAAAAATATTATTGGATGGAAACGAAATCATGCATAGCCACAGATGTGGAAGTGATATAAAGATGTGGTTGCAACTTTGTTCTTGTTAAGCCAAGGTTTCAAGGGAAAAATTAAACAGCATCTGAACTGAACGATGAGAGGCCAATTTGTTGCAGAGACGACTCAAAGAAATCATCTTTGATGTTCCTGTGAACAGATTTGGTTGACTGCTGTATCACAACAACTTCCTGATAATTAAAAGTCATCCAATTCATAAAAATGCAAGTGGATGGAAGTAATTTATAAAGTTGGATACTTACATGCAATAAATGTATAGACTGCATATTTATTTATTTTTCTGCTTTTATTCACTTGCATATCCACTTGTAGTCATGCTGTCACTCAGGTCATCCCTGCTGCTTATTGAAACTTTCTCAACAGTTTAACATACAGTGTGCAGTAAGTAGAAAATGCAACACATTTCTTTAGAGCTTATGTATATTTTTTATTTCCTTTCTTTAACCAGGTAAACCCCGTTGATATCTAGAACTCATTTTCATGAGGGACCTGGACAGAAATCTGCAGTACATAGCAACCTGGTTACAAAATGTTTAAATCTTAAAATGATCAATTTCATGGATGATATAGCTTATAACACTTTACACATTTTTGGCACACTTAGTGAAAAATATGTTGAAAAAAATATGTTTTTATGTTCTTCCCAGACCTCTACAATAATCTATGTAAAACAAAAAAATCACCTGTGGCTTATTAAAGATATGCCTATTAATCCCATAAAAAGCATATATCTAAAGCATTTTATAAATATAACTTTATGTTGTTAACCAGAGTTCTTAGTAGCTTTAAATTATTAACCCTTCTTTCTTTTCCACACTGTTTTTTATCCTTTAAATAACAGAACATTTTAAAACAAAAATCTGGAGGTATTTACAGTAAAACATATAAAAAAATTGATTACCACTGGACCTTTAAGCAAGAAAATAATCCAAAACATGTGGCCAAATAAACACAAACGGTTCACCAGACACAATTTAAAACAGGAATGTCCAGCTCCATTCCCCAACCGTCATCATCCTGCAACGTTCAGATGCATCCCTGCTCCAACACACCTGAATCAAATGAAGGACTCATTACCAGTCCTCTGCAGAGTTCAATGACAGATGAGTTAATTCAGTCATTCAATAAAGGTTTGTTGGAGAAGAAATGCATCCAAAAGTTGCAGGACAGTAGTTCTTGAAAACTGGAGTTGGACACCCACGACCAGATTGTCTCACCAGAAGTAGCCAAAGCCTTGTGAAATGTTATAGGAGAACACAAAGTCCTCTCGAAATGAGGAAAGAGAGGGCTGTACAAAGTTTTAACAGCAGGGGTGCCAATGAGTGTGGCACCACTAATTCTGGTGAAAACAATTATTTACTTAAATTCGATTTTTTCCCCCCTACTAAACATATTCTCTCAAAATAAAAGTTGATGTTCCCTACTTTTCCAGTGTGAAATCATGCTACTGCAATAAAATATTTAGTATTTGAAAGATTTTTATACACCTTTTTCCCATGGGACCAATAAGAGTGGAAGTTGCTGTAAATAGTGTTTAATTTTAGTGGCAGTTCTGACCAAATTGTCCTCTCTAGGGAATCTATGTAGAATAAAAGCCAATAACTCCCATTATGACTCATGTAAACATCTGATTCTGAATCACGCAGCCAATGCAATCAGACTGTCGTGTTTTCAAGAGGCTTCCATGAAGTAAAACCTTCATTCCCAGTTTGCAATAAATGACTTCAGTTTGCATCACTGCCTCTTATGCAGGGGATTAACAGCATCTCCATCAAGAAAACTTATAATTAATCTGAGATCCATTTGTGGAGTGATGAAAATCACAATATTATCCAGGAAGTCATGCTGCCACATACACACTGTAAAGGTTAAAACATTTTGAGCAACACTGGGTCAATTATTGTTATCTTTGTGTTGTAACCTCTGACCTGATGTCTCTTCTGTTTGAGGAAATTATGATAGATCGGGAGTTAACCATTTCCTGAACCCACATTCCAAACTAAAGCAATGTGTACATAGTTTGAGTCGGACCAATATTCAGCATTTAAAGGGGAGATTTTCAGGTCATTTACTGATCTGTGACTACAAGAAACAAAATGTATCCCAATCAGACGACGTAGCCTGTTCAGATTAACAACACTGATTAAAAACTGGACCTTAAATAACAGCTATTTGTGTTTTCTATCATCCGTAGTGGATGGATTCCTGTAGTAACGAGTCGTGTTGTCTGACTTCGGCAGTAAAAACCAGCCTGTGGATTCGGGCAGAGCAGACAAACCCTGCCGACTCCACCACCACTGTAAAATTTACAACCTTCGAGCGTAATTAAAATTGCAGGGTTGTGAGTGTTAGGGGGGGTAAACGAGGGCGGGGAGGCACTGGGGATCCGTCTGGGACCCGAAAAATCTTAGTGTCTTGTTATTCAGCTGTTGTGTTTGTCTTTTTCTCACAAATTTGTTTTAAAGGTTACACTGATTTTACCTCAGACTTATACACTCATCAAGCTGAGCAAATTATTTACATTCTCTGACCTTTATTTAACCAGGACATCAATAAAGATTAAAATCTCCTTCTTACATTAAACTGAAACTACCTTGAGCAGAACAGAAAAAAGAACCAAAGACAGCAGAAAATAGTGGGACAATGCTAATTACTTAAAACTACAACCTTTTTTCACTGGTTGTTTTAACAGGAGGTGTTGATCTTTTTTTTTTCTACATCCCACTTAGGAGCTTGAACTTGTTAAAGAAGGGAATCTGAAAAGGGAATCGACTGAGCCAACTAAATGAACTACAGGTGGAAGAATTTAACAGTGAAATTCTGGAGGGTAAAGAAAACCACATAAAAACATATTTTTGAAGGCGAAGTATTCAGACAGTTGTAAGGAAAAAAAATAATGAGAACAGGAGGCCATCAACCTCCATTAAAATATAGATATGCACTGCTTTTTCAACACATTTGAACCAAAACAGTTCTGTGACTAAACTTTGGCTTGTTGCTTTTGATAATTATGAATACATGATTAAAATTTCTACAGTTCTGTTTAGAATCTCCAGCATCTTAATGTTTCATTGCACAAGCCAAATGTTACATTTTCAAATCAATTTGGAGTTTCAAGATGCTTTCATCCAATCGTCTTGAACTACAAATAGCTCAAAGTTGTTGATTTTTAACAGATTAATGCAGAAATAATCTTTTAAACTTTATCTGAGGTTTTGGGGTAAATTTCACTTATTTAGTTGTGCAAACAGTTTGATTTAAATTATTCATTCTGTGCTTTGTTGTGAAGTACATTTAGACCAGACATGTTGTCCTTTTGATCACTGACAGAATCCTGCAGAGAACAAAATAACCTTCATTTTCACCTGCTGCCCTGCCACACTGTTTAAGTGTCCTATGATAAACTGCTTCAGGTCTTATTGCGCCGAGGTTGGGTCTACATTTTGTCATTTGGTAAGTCTCCGCATACAATAGAGAACTCTGAGGTTCCCCAGGGCTCTATTCTTAGACTGCTTTTACTTAACATCTGATGCTCAGGTTATATTTCTCTTGCTGTATTTCTATGCTGATGAGACACAAATTGATATTTTTGAGTCTGCGCATGACCACAGTTCCTTACAGTCTCTGAACTTCATCAACGGGTGAATGGGCAAGGAATTCCTCCAGTTTTATGAAAACATGGAAGTTATCATTTTTCAGCCCAAAAATATAACACAGGTATCAGTGATGTTATAAAAAAACGCCACAATATATATAACAACTTTGGTGTCATTACACACTCAAACTTGAATTCTAACAATCTCATAAAATCTATTAGTTTTTCTGTCAGCACTGAATGCAAAGAACTGGTGCATAATTCTGCGTTTAGTAAGTTATATTTTTGTCTAACAAATAATCGCAAAAACATTATTTGTTGGTCAACTATGATCAATTTTGACCACATTTTTATCTATCTGCACTTTTGCCCAAATTTTGTTGTGCTGATATGTTTCATAATTATTTTAAACCCTTTTTTATTCCTTAACTCTGTATGAATGGTGCTAAACAAAAACTTGATCCGCTGCCGTCCCTGAGGATTCCTGCTGATAATACAGACATATTTGAGATGGGAGCAGAAGGAATCTGCTCATCTGATTCAGGTTTGCCAAGGGAGGCCCATCTGATACATATTTTACTCTCATCTTCATGTGTTGGAGTCAAACAGAGGGATAACTGCCAAAATATGGAGGACACATAAAAACTATTATCGAGTTTGGATGCCTGAAGCTCTAAGTTGGTCCTGAAAGCTTCTGGTCTTTATATTCTTGGAATTAAAAACCATCAACGAAGCCAAATTGAGTCTTGGAAACCAGAAAAACAAAAACAAAAAACTAAATGAATTTGTTGCATTTTCAGATCATTAAGAGCCGCAGAGACACGCAAGTCCTATCATTGGTGAAGCTGTCAAGAATCCTGTAACACTTCATCGGTTCTCATCCACTCTGCATCTCATTCTCTAAAACCTTTGCAGAGCTGCAAAAAGTGGATGTCAGACGGAGAGCAACTGTTCAACAGACACAGACGCAGGAAAGTCTTGAGGATGAAGGACAGAAAAGCGGTTAAATCTTCACAGCCTGTTTTTAACTAAAAAACGATGTAATTATAACTCTCCAAGTGGCACAAACTATAATTTCAGCACAGATCACAAGTTAACAGGGACCTTTTATCCTGAAGATTCCAATTATTGACTCGTTTTTTTAAAGTTACTAGTACAGAAATGTTAATGTTCGCGCGATGGAAGATAAAACAAACTTCATTCCTTCCCCAGGACGCAGAGGGGATTATTTTGGTGAAGCTTCATAAGCCGGTGTCATCGTTCCTGATTTTCTGTGAAGTGGTAAGAACATACTTAAAAATTAAGACAACAAATTGGCTGTCATACTGAATCAAAACGCATGCGACTCTTTGTTATAAATAAACGTGTTTAACCAGGATCTTGTTTATTTGTTGATTCCCATGGTGATCATGCGCCGACCTGCAGACGAATGCCGAGAGATCGGACCCAGAATTTCACGGCTAAATTACCGCTGATGAAAAGCACAGAGAGGCTGCAGCAGCGCGGCTGCAGCAGCGCGGCTCCAGGGTTGGTGCGCTGCAGGCTGCAGGAGCGCAGAGACGCGGCAGTAGACTAAATAACCAGCGGTTTGCAAGAGATTTTCTTACGCGCAGTGGGTGTTGTGATGTGTTATTATGAAGCCATTTGATCCCTTTAATCTTACCTGTAATTAGCGGAGAGGAAGAGCGGGGCGTTTGTAGAAGCCACAAAAAGCAGAGGAAAAACCTACAGGTGGACCGGGAGGAAGGGTTCAAGCAGCGGGGCGACATAATCGGTTTGCTCCAGGAAGACAGGACCAAAAAGTTTGGATACACAAAAAATATTCCAATTTTAAAAAATTAAAGATCAGACGTCCACTGCAAGAGTCTGCCTTTCAACCAGCAGAGAGACTCCCCAGTTTGTTAGCTGGCTCTGAAATGCGGAGCGACAATCAGGCAGACGCGCAGTAATGACAGCGACATTAAAATGACAAAGACGCGCCTGCAGGCAGGAGACAGCGCGTCTGCACAGGTTCTGCAGGGGAAACTGAGTCCATTGTGAGCTTAAAGTCATTTATGAGGAAAAGAACAGTCACAAATCCAGTTCATGAGTGTCCATGGAGAAGCCGTGGAGCGCACTGAGCTTTAAAAATAGTAATAGTTGGGGGAAAAATGTTAAATCTGAGGCATCAATCCAAAAATTCCGTTTTACGCACTGATGCTCGATGTTGGTCTGGTCAGGACTGCACGCAGCCTCCGTGTCCGCGCGGTGTTAAAAGCCGACCTGCTTCCACTCCTCCTCTGGTGTCGGAGCGCAACACGGAGCCAGAAAGTCCTGCCTCCTCTGCGCAGCCCGGGACCTCCCTCCCTCCCTCTGGCTTCCAGACCTCTGCGAACCTCCGTCAGACGCAGTCTGTGGTCCGCTGCCTCAGATCTGCAGCTCCACGCCTCTGTTTGTTACTGCCGCCGAGTTTTTAATAATGACAGCGGATCCGCTTCTGTTTGCCAGCGACTGAACCTCTGCGCCAAAAAAAAAAAAAACTTCTGGCTTTCAGATATAGGTATACAAAGCCCCCTATATATATTTAGTGTTGTGATTAATAATATGCATTTACATATTTTGACTTGCAATATCTATTTAATGAGCTATATGCAACAGAAAAGTAAAACTTGATAAGTTAGTTTTGTAACAAGAGACAATACTGAAATATTGATTTCAGAATTTTTATGTACATTGTTATTTCCCTAATTACTTTCTCAGATGCCAGAATAAGATTTAGATTTTTTTTTCGTATTACTTTATTTCAAGTCAGAATCTTATGTGCACTTAAATTAATGTGCTCTGATGATGACGTCATGGTTTTGTAAGCTTCTAATAGGTTAGTTTACAATTTTACAGTTAAATGAAAGAACCAATTCACCACTTCCTTGTGTGACATCATGGGAAAAAATAAGAAGCCAAGATATTAAAATGCAAATAAGTCAAATGTACCTTCAGATTTCTGAAAGAGCTGCAGTTATTTATTCAAGCAATTATCTGCTCCAAATCTCTTCCAGCCATGATAATCTTCAAGAAAACTGGTAATCGGTCCCACAAACAAATGCAAAAGACCTTAGGAAAATGATGGTTGGAGCTGGACATGTCATTCCACATTAAAACAAATGCTGTTCTTGGACCAGTTTAAAAGTTTGATTTATCCCCCTTTGGTTTGGCCACCTGTTCTTAGACCTTCACATGTTGTCAAAGTCGTGTTTATGCTTCCACAGTCCTATACTTTTTGACATTTTATTTCAGCTTTGTTTAAAATAATCTAATTTGTGTTTGAAGTTTAAGAGTTTAAAGATAATAAGCATGTTATTAATAACATTGAGAGAGTGGAGGGGCTAGATTTTTGTTCTAAATGTGAAATCATAGAATGAAATGCACTAAGCTCTATATGTCCTTATGTTGTTTCTGTATTTGACATTGAACACATATATACATTAGCTTAATAATGCGTGTCATATGTTTCTTGAAAACGTATGTCAGAAAATCAAGACCTGATCAACCAAAGCAGATTCGTGCATCTTTCTTGTGGGTGGCCACTGAAATGATGGCTGCCAGTCCTTTATCACCTTGACTCTACATGTTGCAGCAATTTTATTTTTTAGTTTGCATTCAACATCCTGTTTAGATCAACAGCTTGTGTCTGTTGAAGCCTAGTGTGATGAAGGAGCTCAAGTAGAGCTGCTGCCACTGAGGTGGTCCAAAAATCTGATCCCACTTGCAGAAACTGTTGCTGGGACTCGTTTTCACTTCTGAGCTACAGTGTCAGAAAGAGAAGTCAGAGATTTTGTGTCATTGAACGGTTGAAGAATGAATGGACAAATGTTGCACCAATCACCCTGAATCATCCAATCTAAACTATGGACATGTTTCAATTTCAGTGGGATTGATTTAGCTAGTTTAGTTTGATGTGGAGAAGAAGAGGCTTTACTTTGGTTTCCCTCCAGATGATGGAACGCCTCACCCTTTCTCTGAGGCCAAGTCCAGCCATCCTGTGAAGGAAGATCATTTTACTCAGCTCTACCCATCGGTTTAGTAATTTATTAATGGAGATTTTAGATTTCCCAAGAAACCAAAGTTTCATTTTCAGCCTAATTGACACATTGAATCTTTTTTATTCAATCACAGATTGTAAACCATGCGCCTTCTTTTCTAACTAAACAGTCTTGTTACCATTACTAATCTACAACACATAGGGCCGTGTTAGATGGAAGAACAGGAGTAAATTTTTGCCTGAGACTCAGAAAGTTTGAGATTAGTCTCTGAAATTTTTAAGAAAATGCTTGAAATTTTCTGAGTTTCAAAAGTCAAACATGTTTGGCTTTTGAAAATCCAAGTTTCTCCCAAGTTTCAGAATTATATTCTTGCACATTTTTAACTGTTTTTAACATTTCCTCTTCTTTTCTAGAACATTTCTTTGTTTAATCTTGTTTGGTGGAAATTTACTCTCCCTTTCTCCCAATGGTTGTCCATCATTGTACTGATCTGATCTCTGTCCTCCCAAAGAAATAATCCATCCATCCATCCATCCATCCATCCATCCATCCATCCATCCATCCATCCATCCATCCATCCATCCATCCATCCATCCATCCATCCATCCATCCATCCATCCATCCATCCGTCTCATTATTTTTCTTTGCTAAAACTGTGATTTTAACAATTAGTTGAATAATTTTTTTTTTTTTTTTTTTACAAAAGTTTTGCTTGTTTCAGTTGCTTTTCATCCTTAGGTACAAATAAACTGAGTTGCATCTTTGCTATGCAATAAAAATGCATATTATTCTGCTGCGGTTGTTTAAGGAATGAGAAGCTCCTGTTACTGATACTATTTTTGGCAAAGTTCAGTATATTATTGTTATGAAACTGATCTTTCTCAGTGGTCATGTCGCAGCAAAATATAAGGCAGGGAATGAAGGCAAAAACATGGCATTGAGAAGACAGAGAGACTGATTGGTTGTCAAAGCAAGAGGCTTCTCCAAACTCAACATGCTGTTTCACAATGCAAATTTAAGCACCGTGCTCTTATAAATCAGCAGGCTGGAGATAACATTTAAGTTGTTTCTGACACACAAGGCAGGCTGCCTGAGTCTGCTGTCGTGTTTGTGTGCGTCTGGCCTCTTTAAAGTGAAGCCCATCAGAAGCTCAGACAGGGAGGAAAAGTGAGTCTTCAAAGAAATAATTAGGACCCACCCAGCAGCTTTTAACTGAGTGTCAGATGCTGCACGCTGGAAGCACCACAGGGCTGGCTGAGGTGTGAGTGTGTGAAGAAGAGACGGTTACAGGGAGGCTCAAAGGAAACTGGCTCTGTGATGTAGAGAGAAGAAAATGAAAGCTTATGTTTTAAGAAGAAAGAGACAATGTGAAGAAAGAAAACATAAGAAAAGCACCATGGCGTATGGCAAATGGGTAAGGTTTGGTTATAGAAATATTAACCACTAGATGGCAACAGAGAAAGGTTGGGGGATTTGACCTGATCTGACCACAAGCTTCTCACATGCTATGTAGCAAGAAAACTTTCACACATGGTCACATAAATGTGGAGTGATGAAAGAAGAGTGACACTAAATCCATGCTTGTGGATTTTAGGGTTAGTGGCATAAATGTGTAAATATGTGTTGCAGAAAAACACTTGTCTCTTTACAGAAAGTCAAACAGTTATCTGGTTTAAAGGGAGATTTCGCAATTATTTAAAAGATGACTAAACTTTCCAAGATAAAGCATCCAAAAAGAGAAGAAAAACCATAATAAGAATTGGAGTTTCACATTTTACTTCCATTTGGTCCCAACTGCTTTTAAAACATTTTTAGTAATACATTAATGTTTTTCAGTGTCTGGAAAATGAGCCCTTTGAAACTCCTTTTGATTGCTAAGCCACATTTGACGAGCACTGACGGATTATCTAGCAACCCCAGCTGAACTCCAGGACAACTGGTTAGCTGATTTTACCATTGCAGGCGCTGCACAATGGCTGCTGTATAATGAGAAAGACGAGTGCGTTGTTTACTTATCATTCACCAACCACTTGCTGCATGCTGTGTTTCAAAGATGTACAGTTCTATAATTGCACTTCTGTCTGGAACCATTTTCACATGCGAGTGTAAATGCTGAGTTCAGCCATTAGTAGCTTATTTAGAGTAAAAGTGATGAGAATCTCACTAAAATCTCATGATCCAAGAATGATTTTGTGCAGAAAGTCTGATAAATGTGTTCTGTTGCTCATAGTAGACATTTCCTAAGCTGTTCAAGGAAGCACATTTAAAGGAAATTACATTTGAGAAGTGGAAATTTTAAGACTATAGATTATTAGGGAATGTTCCTTTTTGGGTTGTCTCAACCATGTGGGAATGACCTGAGGTCATGACACTTTGTAATGTTTCTACTGCCTGCAGACGGGAGCTGGAGCTCTGAGGCGAAAGCCCCCTGCAGCCGGTGGGACACAGTAGGGGGGAGAAGTTGGACCGGCTCTTTAAACATTGGAACCTGAGTTTAAATTGAATTTCTAGTCATGGGTTCTGGCATCAGAAAAGTCCACAGTGTAAGGGAAGCACTTTCCCACAAAGAGTGAACATAAAGCTCAGAGTTGACTCATCCAACACAAACTTGGCTGCTACATTTTAAATAAAAGCTTCATGTGAACTCACAGTCTGCAGACAGCTGCCACTAGGGCATCATTTGTCATTTTATATTAGAGTAAAGAATAAATGGAAGGCTCTTTAATAAGATTTAAAAACTAAACAAAAACATGAAATGTAGTTTTAAAATTAGTTTCTTTAGATGGAGATAGGAAGTATGACTGTGAAAGGATGACGTCAATGCACTTAAAGACTAATATTTGCCAGAGAACAATAAAAATGCACAAAAATACATAAAAATTGCTATAAAGCAGGAACTCTCTCTGTGCTGTACATTCATATTTAATAAACATGCACCTTCCTGTCTATTAAATATAACTGCATAAATCTATTTAACACAGAAATAAATGCTTTTGCGTTTGACCGGCTGACTTCATGTTGCTATTTCAATGGAAATTCTGCAAACACTTCAAAAACATATTTGTAGCTTTCTCATGTATTATATTTGTGCTTTTGGACAGTTTCCACATTGTAAACTAATTCCACTTCAGGACAAATGTTAGTTATCTCAATTAGTTGAGTAATATGTCTGAGTGAACATCCTCAGT